ATGGATTGACTTAAACCTGCAGAGTGCTTTTGGGCAGTGTGGTCGTTTTAACAATATTAATTCCTCCAACCCAAGAGCATGGGATACCTTTCCGTTTCTTTAAGTCATCTTTAATTTCTTTAATCAGTGTTTTATAGTTCTCTGAGTCTTTCAAAAGGTGATAAACTTTAAGTAAAATAATGGAAGTGGGAAAAAGCATGTGGAAAGCTTCTCAGAGGGCTAGACTCACAGAGGCCAAAGTGTGTTTTCAGGACTGCTGGCCCCCTGGCCGGGCACAGCAATGTGGAGTCAGGCCCAGGCCCAGCCCTATAGGTGCCCACAAAATGCTCCTGGCCCTGCGCAGCGCCCTGGACTGGAGGGCACACCGGGGTGTCTGCCAGCCTCCCGCAGCGCACACGCCTTGCCGCGGCACCGTCCCCAGGGCTCTCCTGTGCGTGTGTTTCCTCGGCCAGACTGGAAACTGCTGTGGGTGCCCCGTGCCCAGCACAGCGCTGTTTCTGGTCTATGATGACACACCGAGCTATGGCCTCAGGGTCTCGGCCTCTACATCCACCCAGATCCCCAGAACTTTGAAGTCCTGCAGCATCCATCGGAACAGGGCTCCTCAGGACATTCTCCAACCCTCCCCCTTTCTAAGCCCAGGCTTCCTGAAGGCCACCGCACACCCAGCCTGGCCAAGCAGGCGTCCCTCTCACGAGGACAGTGAGCCCCACCCAGCACCACAAGACATAAGTGTTTCCCTCCTGGGGGAGCAGCTGCTGCCCCTCCTCCCTCCACCACCAGCACCACCGGGACCCCCCCCTGCCAGCCACCCGTCCTCTCTCAGCCAGATACTCAAGCCTCTGTGTCTGTGCCAGCTGTGCCGTGGACCTGCTGGACCGGTCTCTGCACGTAGCTGTCAACCTGTCCTCCGGGTCCACCCCGTTCTGCCTCCCAGGTGGAAACCCCCGCCCGGTGCACACTGCTGCCTCCTCACAGCAGGCCTCTGCCCACCCTCACCAGTTTGCTGCAAACCCTCCCACTCTCGGCCCCTCTGGCCCCACTGCAGCCGGGCTGCTGCTTCTCAACGCAACTCCGACGGCGCTCTCTCCTCAGACACCCCCCCATCCAGGCTCCTGAGATAGCCCCCGTGCTCTCCCCCACTCAGTGCTCCTCCCCTGCACAGCACCCCCTGCTCCGTGAGCCCAGGTGTGCACACCAGGGGAGGTGAGCTCCCAGCAGCTCCCAGGTCTCTGCCGGTCCCCAGGCATCTTCATTCAGAAGGTCTGTGTGCGCCCTGCGCTCCGGGCTGGGCGGAGGATGCACTCCTCTGTGCGACGGGCTGCTCGCCCTTCTGCTCTCTTCTCCTAGGAGCTTCCAGGAACCAGGCTGGGTGACAGGCTCCCCATGCACGTCCCCACCCCCTCCACACTGACAGCATGTGGTAGGGCAGGGCAGCAGGCGCCCTGGCAACGCCAGGTCCTGGGAAGTGCTTGGTCACTGCCCCCATGTGACCAGTGGGGACGAGTACACGTGCAGCTGCTGTGGTCAGGTCCGTGGGTGCAGCCCTCCACGCGGGTGGGTCCGTGGGCGGGTCCATGGGTGTGGCCCCTGTGGGGCGGGCCTGTGGGCG